GGACAAGGAGCCCCGCGCCGCCGCAGGTACGGCCCCGGGCCGCCGCCTCCCCCGCCGGGCTCGGCCGGACGCGGAGGGGAGCTGCGGGGAGTGCGCTGGCGCGGCTGGGGGCAGGCCGCCCTTGGTCGGGGAGGGCTGCCCGGGTATCTCTGGGGCGAGAGGTAGCCCCCTGCCCTGTCTGGCTGACGAGGCTGGGAAAATACCTGTAGGGATTGAAGTACGCTTGATGTGCCATGCCCGGCGCCTCCTTAAGGTGTCCCTGTCTCCTGGGAAGCTTATTACCGGCTTTTATCGCCGGGCGATGTCAACGAGGGGCAGCGGTGCGTCACCCGTGCTCGGCATATGGGCTCCCTGACCATAACCCTGGAAGGGAAAGTGCTCTGAAAGGCTCGAAATTCAAATGCTTTGTCATTCTGTGCAGGGCTGCACGAACTCATTTACATTTTCATGAGTGTCTCCACTGTTAACTTCTCCTTGTTCTCTGTCTACTGTTTTGTTGGACTTACCTTTGTTTGCTTCTGTTTGTATTTTTTGAAAGTTACGGCTTTGCATGTTTTACAGACTGTGTTCTGTGGTGGGACTCCCTGCTGCTTCCTGAACACTTGGCGAACTCAGACCTAAGTTTTCTATTTGTCTCACCTATTCCAGCAATTAGTTGCTTGTGATACTCATGTTTTCATCCTTTTAATAAATTTTAGTCTGTTTCTGTTCTTTGCTCCAGGCATCTGTTCCCGTCTTTCTACCATCACATGTATTAAGAGTTTTTGATGTGGACACTTCTGTCATATTTTTGGTTTTCATAAAAATTTATCTGCTTTCTATGTTTTGAAATCTAGCCTTGGAGAGAGAAGGAAATGTAATGTGAAGATTCAGAAATGCAGAAGCTTAGTTATCAGTTTGAAAGGAAGCATAAGCATGGCCATTATCTAATTCTAAATATACAAAATTATAAACTACACAATATTTATTGCTTACTTTTTTTCTTCAGACTTGCAAGCTTTCTGATTCTGTGCAACTTTGTAAATAGATGGACATCTAGAAAAGGTTTGCTGATGGAAATCTGTGGTCTTCTATCACTTAATAACATTTGCTTTTGTAATTATACCATAGGATTTCTTGCCAGCAACTGGTAAAAATTGTTCCATTTGCAACAATAGTATATTAAAAAAAAAAAATCGAAACAAAACCTGTCCATGTGAGCAAAATAAGTTGTAAGGTTATTAAAGTTGGGGTTTTTTTTAGTAGCCACAGAGAGCTTTTGGTAGCGTACTGTGTTTAACTGTAAGAAAAAAAAATCTCCTCTTTTAACCAGTGGTTCCAAGCATAGACCAGACTTGTAATACGAATGTGCCGTTAAAATGTTAGAGTTCTGTCTTGTTCCCACAAGACTTAAGATGTGTTAATGAGACAGTGCTTTTAACAAAACATCATAGTCAATGCTTCAGAGTGGAGACTAGAGCCGTGGGTCTTGCACTACTGGGGCAGTTGAGGTGGCGAATGCAGAGTACTGCTTGGGATCTGACCCAGGAGTATGTAAGAAAATCTCAGAACTGTGGGTGATCATAGCATCTCATCTCTTGCTGTTTCTTCCTTGTCCTTACCTTTTCTGTATCTCTAACACTTGAAGGTACAGCATTGTTTCATGTGTCAGGTGGAACAAACAGGCAAGGGATGTTATTCATGCATGTTACTGCAACACGGGGAGTGATTTCATCATGGAATTATGGTCAGAATATGAGACTGTATAGAAAAAGATGGAATTGGTTGAAGGGACTACCTTTAATTGTGTTAATGTTAAAATAGTATAAAGCTAGTTTAGTATTGAAGGAGTTCATACATGTTACTCTTGTGAAGTGTATTAGTTTAGCTTATGCCATGTTAACACGATGGAAGAACAGGTTGAGGTGTATAGGTGGATGATAGTATGTCTGTCTTCTTCGACACGTCCTCATCATTCCAGTACAACAGCCTGAAAGCTGTAGGCCTTGTCCAAATTAATTTGAAAACAGTTATTGAGCTTGGTAGTTAGGCTGTGTATGTGTGAGATCTGGTCTCCCGAGTGGGAGTTTAATGAGTAGTTTTCAAGAGCAGTTCCAAGAAAAAACTTGATTAGTTACATTTTTACGTTTAGAGACTGCACTGGGAGTAAGTTGTGACAATGATATGCTTTCACAGTGGAAAACTTGCTTAAAATAATTTTTGAAGAGACCACAAACTCAGTAAACCCTGCCACATTCAGCAAATACTAGCTTCAATTAAAATAGCTTATTTTCATATGGAGAGTATTGATAAACTGAAAGGAAACTTCTTAAAACCACCAGTTTCCTTGTTTTCAGCCTATGTTTTTGTACAGCCACATCACCCTGGTAACAGCAGGCTTTCTAGTAGCACAGTAGCAATACTGAACAGATCATAAGTTTAAAAAAATAATTTTCTCTTCTTCCTTGAGCATACAGCATAATGTGGTTTCTTTGGTTTTAATTTGATTTTTAATTGAATATCTTTTTCCTGCAGTTATCTTTTATGTTACAAAAGGCATGATTGAAGAATTTCCTCGAGGCAGTGAGACTACTTATGGTTTTAGATTCTGGAATGAATGCACAGAAATTAAAAACTGGCCTCTGAGAAAGTTGTTTTTCACACAGACAGCTTCGGTCTTTGTGATAGAAAGTTCATCTGTAGGTCCTCTTCACCTGGAAGATGAATGTGCAGAGCAACTTAACATGGATGTTGCATTTCATTTGGTAACAGTATAATGCAGAACCCTGATTTTGCCTTCACTGGCAAAAATATGTAGTAGTTGCAGCTCAGCTGTGTGATGTGATGTTTCTCATGTAGGGGTAGTTGAGGCTTGAATATGGAATAAGAACCACCATGTCACCAAGTGACTTCTTCCATAAAAATAAGTGTATTGTAGGTTTTTTTGGTTTATTTCCCAAACTCACTTAAGTACTTTGTGACCAGAAAATCTTAGAACCCTTTCCTTCTCTCTTGGTGGCTGATGCTATGAAATGCAATTTCTTGATTGTCCCTGACAGTCCCAATAAAAATCTTAAAATTAAACTGTAATTTATTGAAGAAGTATTGGCCAAGTAGTCTAACAGATTCTGATCTAATGTAGTTGTTGATCCTTATGAATGAGCTGTTACTAGATTTAAGCCTTCTCTTCCTGTTGCCAAATTACGCTAAGGTTTTCTTATATTTTATGCTTTCTAGTTGTTGTGGTTTGGAAGCCATGTTATTATCTGTGAGTGGTTCATGCAAGCAAGTGGTAATATTCTAGAAAACTTCAGAACATGTCCTGTGCTACAAAAAGGAGTTCCAAAAACCCAATTGTGATTTTTATTATTTATTTTTATATGGCTATCCACAAACTCTTTAGAAGTATATTTTCTGAATGATTCTAGAAGAATATATGAGTTTTATCTTGCATTTCTTCAGGTTCTGGAATGGGAACAAGGCAAATTTATCTGTGAATGTTTAACATAGAATAATGTAGCTATTTCTTAATACAAAAATGAGCCATAATCCACAGATGCATTAAAATGCGCTCAGTAAGAACGTGGTATAACCTTAGCCTGAAAAAAAAGGTACAAAAATCTACAGTTTCAAAACTTGCAAAGACATAGTTTGAAAAAGTTTAAAGAGCAATAGAAGTATTAAATCCTGACAACTTATTTTCTAGTTGTCTTTCTGAATGTTTGCATAGATGCAATAGTTGCATAAATGCCTGCATAGAGCTGATCTTTTGGTCAGTACATAAAGAAATTCTACTAGGAGTTGATAGTATTTGAACATTGGAATGGTGATGGCAAGCAGTACTTCACTGGGATATTGGTGCAACTTGTTAGCGCTAGTGTAACGGATTGTTTTGTAAATAACCTCATTGTGCCTTAGCAGATAATGAACATGTTAGCCAAGCTGTTAAATGAATGGTATGATACCATTCTAATAGTGGGTAACGGTCAGTTTACTTTCAGGTAGCTTTCTCTACAGAAGGACACAAAAATCTTAATAAGAATGGTATGTAAAATCTTTAGCACATTTTTTTACAGATACGGTTTTGAAGGGACCTTTTTCTTGTAGGCTTCCTTATTTAAATAAAAATTTGAAGAAATCCTTGGAAAGTGTAAACACTTTGCAGTGGTAGTCTCAAATTAGTTGTTGCAGATTTGGCTGATTTACTTGAAACAAAAAGTTGATTAGAGGCGGATAGATCAGTGGGAAAACTTGCACTGATTTAATGGGCCAGATTTTTCAGCCTGCTGTTGAATGGGCATTAGCAGGGAAGGCTGTTAGCTTCTCAGTGTGTTTACTTAAGTTGTGAATTTGTAGTACAAATTACACTCAAGATGGCTTGTTTTCTTATTTTTCAGGGCATACAGGACATACTGCTGATATGAATATATTTTTAGATGATCCAGAATTTGCAGAAATTATTCTGAGAGCAGAGCAAGCTATAGAGTGTGGAGTTTTTCCAGAAAGGATCTCACAAGGATCCAGTGGGAGTTACTTTGCCAAGGATCCAAAAGGGGTGAGCATGTTACTCAAAGTCAGAGACACTGTCAGCAATTAGTTTAAAATGGAAATTTTAAAAATCTATTTAAATGGAAATTAATTAAAATAAGTTGTTTGATAATTTATGTTATGCCAAAATCTATGCTGGGAAAAATCAATGCAAGAAATACTTAGATTCCCAATGATGTCTTGCAGCATAAGCTAAGCCAAAATAACTCTTATTTCTCTGTTGCAGTTTTACAGTTTTTTGAATGATCTGCACCAAAGAAATATGGAGAAAATAAAAGCGCCTCTAACTGCTGAAAACAATTCAGGAATTCCTTTGTGCAGAATCTAACTTTTTGTTCTTCGTATGTTTTAATTGATTTTTGACACAACTGAGCTTGTGATTTGGATACTGTTTAGCCATTAGCCAAGCTTTTTATATTTTTATTTCTTTTCTTTTTAGTTTTAGTCTTAGTTTAGTTTAGTCTTTTGTTTAGGTCACGTCTCCTTCCTCTTATATGATTGGTAGATGAGTAAGAAAAGTGATATAAACAAATCTACCTTTATACTTGTACTTGTCTGCCGAATCTTCACTTTCCCTCCTTTAGTGGTAGATGGTACCGTGAATAGCGATCATCAAAGAGGTGTTGAAAGGTTACCTTGGGACAGAGAAGTAACAGTTACCTGAATATCTTGCTTGAAAAGTAACATTTGGTTAGCATTATTTAGTAAGAGAAAATTATGTTTCAGACATACTTTCACATTGTTTTCTTTAAATCAGAACTACTTTGTCTGCTTTCCAACCTGTTTGAAAAAAGACACTTCCCAACCCCCACACCATTGTTAATTTGTCATATCTGATTTTATTTTAAACTCGATGAGTAGTCTTCTGGTCTTAGGTAGATGTAGGTATTCACTAATCCTGAAGATACCAGTTGTGTTGGACATGGAAGTTGTAAAATTTTAAGTGTGTAGGTTTTTAGAACATATTAAAAATTGTTGTTCTTCACTGCATCCCCAGAATGGTCATTTCCCATTTGTTTAGGAAGTATTATATTTTTTGTTTAGCTTTTATTCATATTATTGGTCATTACAGAATATATTCCTGTTTTGCCATTTCATTTTCAGACATGCTTTGTTTTAATGACACTTTTCTGGTGATAGTTTTTACACTTTATTGAATGAGTGATTTTTAGGATAGTTACCTGACTTAATACAAATAAGCATATGAATTTATGACTTTATGTCTTAGATGGAAAGTAACAGAACTACCCCTTCAAAACCTTCTAGGAACTGCACACTGCAATTCATACTCCTGTGTTCCAGGAACACTTGGTAGTCATGACCCCTGGTGGAGGACAGCCAAAGTAGGTTGGGAAGGAGGGTGTCTCTCTTTTTGAAACTGATAGGAAAAAAAAAAATTTTCTTTCTCTGATCGCGTTGTGGGATTCTTGCTGTCACATACAATGCTGTTAATATGAAAACCTGTTCTAAGTTTCAGCAGACTTCTTAAACTTCAGGTCACTTCCCTACTTCAGTAGTTTAGTTCTTTGTAGGTTTCCAGGTTGTATGCTTATATATACATATTCAAAATTTACGCTGTTTTTAAAGAGGTATTTTAAACTAGGATTATAGCTTATTTAATATGCAATAGGAAAAAATCTGAGTAAGTAACCAAATACTGGTTTAAATCAATACTTTTTAGACAGGTCATGCATTGAATTTTTGAAAGCGTATTCTATAGTGTTATGCTAAAAATGCTTTTGAACTGGTTAAAGGGGGAGTGTGTGTTTTGAGTTTTTCTTAATGGTAGGCAGTTGAGATCTTTTATTTTTAGAACATTAGTTGGTTGAGAAATTACTTGAAAAAGTCATCCCTGTTATGGATCGTATGTGCAAATCTGTTTTGTCTGAAGCCTCTCCAGACTGATTTTGCAGTTTTTTGGTGACTAGCAAATGCCTGAGAGGCTCACTGTGCCTTGAGGCTAATGAGAGAGTATTTACGCTTGATTTTTGTAACCATAGCATTTTGGATGGAACACCTTACTTCCTTGTTCTTACATGGTGATTTTTTTTTGTTGGTTTTACTTTTGTTTTGCAGTGAAGTGTTGGGTTTGTTCCTAATTAAGTTCCTAGTAGTGACTTGCTCTCCCCCTTTATGCAGGTCATTGATTTCAATGTAAGTATTTAGGAGAAAAGACTGAAAAAACACCCATTTTTTTAACGTGGGCCATAAAAATTTCATTGCAAAAGTATTTGGAAACATGGGACTGTGAGAATAACGATGCTGAGTTCTTAGCTGCCTTTCAATTTTGCTTTTATTCTTTGCACTAAATTTAGAGCTTATCTAAGTTTGTTATCCATATTAAAATTCTGATAACACTTAATTTTCTCAGTAGTGCAACGCCCATTTGTAGAAGGGATTTTGCATCCTGTTTGTCAGAGTATTGCATCATTCTACTTCAGACCAGATTTGTGACTTGCTTTCTCCTATTTGTTTTGAGTAATCTCTTCCTTAAGCTGGGAAAGAGCTTATTAAAGATGTGCTAAGCTTTCTTACTGGTCAGCTTCTGAAGTGTTTACCCACACAAATACCAAGTTACAGGTAAAATAACCTGTTTCCCTTAGGTCATCTTATTCACTGATTTGAGTCTATCAGAAAGATAAAACTAAAATTGCCTGATTAACACTAGAAACTTTTTGCATTTATTGGCATAGATGTGTACTGGTATGAAGCAGTTCATTCAACACTTCACAACAGGGCTGCTTATTTCTGCATTTGTTGTTCATTATATAAGCAATAAAGTAGAAGACATTGTGTCTATTACAAACTGTTCTGCAACATGTTTTTGACAGTTTAGCTATTGGCTAATGCTAATGCCAATGGAGTCAGTCTGGTTCTAATCTGATCCTCAACAGCAGTGACTTTGCAAAATTTAGCAAGGTTCTGACTTCAGTGAAACCTTGAAAACTGTCTCTAGATTTGATAGTGTAGCACAGTATGGTCCAGGCAAGTAATGGAAAGGGCTAAGCTCCTGTTTAAAATGGGCAGTTTGTAGGAAGTATCCAGAGAGCGATTCAGAAAAGAAGTAATTAGTGGCTTGGCATATACTACCAAATACACCACTGTGTCTGGGAAATGAAAAGCTGCTAGCTTTGTTTTGTGTGGGTGGATACCTGTGATTCAATAGGAGAAGATTGAACTCCATAACAATTCTAAACCTAACATTAGAATTTTGACTAAACTGGTATACTAAGTAAATTCAGTTTCTAAAGTGTGATTTTTTTGGGGGGGAAAAAATGTTCAGAAAACATCATCTTGGTCTTTCATGTTGCACAGAATATTTTTTCTAAGTGCGAGCTTTTGTGCAGGTCTAAACTGAATTGTGTCTGTGAAGTTTCATAGAACTTGCTTATCATTTTGAAGGTAGCCTTAGAGTTACAGATAACAGCATACCAAAAGCAAGAGAATTTTTGTCAATTTGTTTCCTTCCCCAGTTGATAGGAACCTTATAGGATGAATCCAAATAACAATATTTCATAACTTATTTCTTCTGGTAGTTGATGGGAATGAATCAAAATAGATGGACAGTACGGGTGATGCTACTAATGCCTGGTGTCTTGTGTGATCTGTTTACAAACTGAATGAAAAAAGTTCTCTGTAGTTTGTCTTGGACAATCTTGGACTAATTGGATTGTCTTGGACAAAGTGGGTGAAAATTCTGTAGAAGCTAGAACAACTAGTCTTCTTCCTAATCTAGTTGAATCAGCAGTTACTTGAAGCAGAACACTCATTTCTACACTGACAGCAAACTTGTTCATGACTTAAGAGTGTCATCTGTGAGTGATGGTGCAACAACTGGCAGTGTTTAGCTTAATGAGTTATTCACTTTGAGAAGGATTTAGGAAAGTACTAATTCGTGAAAATGCTTCTTAAACAGTTGTTCTTAAATATTTATTAGATAAGAATTTCATTTATTCACCATGGTCCTGTGAGAAGGAATGAAGATACAGCATTTCTACAGCATTTCACTTGAGATATGGAAGAGTCATTTCATGGACTTTATGCACTAGGCTAAAGTTTATCACAGACAATTGGAAGGTTATATATTTTAGTGTGGTAATAATCTTGTGGTTTGAGGTTAGCAAATATAGAATTGTGTGTAGGAGGCACCTTGAGAAATCATCCATTTAATGCCTGTGTTATGGAGCAAGATCATTTTAACATGATTTCTGATGAATGTCTAACCAGCCTGATAGCGGCATCCTGTTTCAGAGACTCTACAACCTGGCAGTCTGTTCCAGTCTTGAGCCACTCTTAAGGTTCAAAAGGGTTTGTGGTTTTTTTTAACTTAACTGCTGGGATTTAAGCCTATCATTTCTTGGCTTGTTAACAGTAAATGTAGTGCACATTTTTTCTCTATAGCAACCTATTACATAGTTCATTGTGCCCTGATTTCTTTTAGGCTAAACAATCCTTGTTATACAGGCTTTCATTATTCACCTTTTTTTTGTGCTTATTCTCATTGTTTTTTCAACTTTCTTCAGTTTGTTAACAAATTTCTTGAAGCACAGTGTCCAAAATTGGATACAATACTTTGAGTAATTTTAAGCTTTACTACAGGTCTCCAATGTAAATGGAGGCTGATAGTGTGAGCCATTCTCAGCTTTGAGTTGAGGAATCTACAGCAGTGGTAAACAGCACCACTCTTGGGAATTGAGGAGTGCAGAACGTTTTGATCCCTTCAAACTTAAAGTAATAAATAACATAGATGTAAAACAGAAAAGGTGGCATCTGATTATTAGCATTCTGTATGTTTGTCACTTTCCTGGAACCATTATGTCTCTGAAATACCTCATCAATCCCTTAATTGGTGGGTTGAAAATTATTTTTAAAACTACTTTTAAAAGCTCATTTTTAAAAATCTCAATATAAAAGAAATTATATTCTAAAATGCTGTCCTCTAATTTTGAAAAACTAGTAAATGCTAGCTGGCTTTGATTTTTCTCTTATGAAGAGCTTATTCTGAATTTTTACTGCTGTTAGATAAGCATTTGATGATAAATTTATTTGGAATACCATTTTGTTAGTTTTATTATTTGATAATCTAAAAAGAGCAACTGTAAATGCAATGTATAGCATCTGACCAATACTTTCAAATAACTAATTTTCATTATTGCAACTCATAGTATTCATACTTTAATTTTATATTATTTATCCTAGAAAATTATTGGAGTGTTCAAACCAAAATCTGAAGAGCCTTATGGACATCTGAACCCAAAATGGACCAAATATTTTCACAAAGTTTGTTGTCCTTGCTGCTTTGGCAGAGGCTGCCTCGTTCCAAATCAGGGATACCTTTCTGAAGCTGGTGCCTATCTTGTGGATGACAAGCTTGGGCTAGGAGTTGTACCTAAAACCAAGGTAAAAGTTAAAGTACATGAATTATTGAATGCAAAAAAAATATAGTGACTGACTTGTCACTCTTTGGACTGTAGTTACGGAGACATCCTTGTGTATCATGCATTATCCCCAAGTCATTAATGAACTATTGCAAGTCCAAAGGCACAGTGGTTTGGTGTAGAAATAATGACTGATTTTTGTTTTAAAGGATAAGTATGAAATCTGAATTGAATCTCTTCTTTGGAACTACTTCAGTTTCTAGTATTTTCTGATACTCTTGTGCCTTATGTTCTGGTGCAAAAACCTTAAAAAGCAGCATATAGAGATTCCTGGTTTTGTTTGAGATATGTAAAATAGCATATTCATATTTTCGTATAAAATTCATCTGTTGGAAATGCCTGATGCTTCCTTTTTGCTTTTTTGACAACTGAGCATAAAATTTACTGTGATTTATAATTGAAATAATAAGGAATTCTGAGCTGTGTTTCTAACTTTCATATTTTAAGGTTGTCTGGCTTGTCAGTGAGACCTTTAATTACAGTGCAATAGATCGTGCAAAATCAAGAGGAAAAAAATATGCTTTAGAGAAAGTGCCAAAAGTTGCTAAAAAATTTAATCGAATTGGACTACCTCCTAAGGTAAGATGTCAAATAAGTAATTTGTGTGTTTCTTGATTCTTACACAAAACTTTGAATTAAAAAAAAAGAATATTTGTAGGTAACTTCAGTGGTAAAAGAAAAACCGTGTTCCTTGTTGAAAACAGTGATTGAAGTTTGATAATATGACTGTTCTATGCAAAATCTATCCACTGTTACATCATTCCTTCATCTGAACTACTTTAATAATCTTGCCGGTTTTTGTTTCAGTTTGCAGTCTAGCTTTTTGCTGGAGGAGTAATATGTCAAAATGTATATGTCTCACCCTTGTGGGTTTTTTTCTTGACTGTTTAGTATGTTTTCCTTCAGTGTCATGTTTTTATATTGTTAATTGTTTCTTCCATGCAATTTATCTAGTGCTTTCATTTTTCCTGACTCTTTATTTTTTTCCTTCTGTTGTTCATTTTATTCTTTTAGATATGTGATTTTTGTGTTCCTTCTATCTTCCTTTCATCTTGTGTGCAGGATTTCACTGACTAAAATGAGCCTTGTATCCCCGAAATATTACCACAGTTTTGATCCATGTGACATACATTACACAAGCTTGTATCAGCATGGTTATTCCACATGCTTTGTATTTATCCATGTCTCTGCATGTCTGCATCTATCAGTGTTTTACTTCTCAAATATAAGTCCTCTTGAGAATTTTAATCTGGAGCACCTTTCTTGTTGCCCACACCTGTGGAGCCTATGCTATCTATAGTTTTTTTCCTTGGACTCTTTTGAGAAATGTATTTCAGCCATTTTCATGCAAAAAGCGTCTGTCTTGAAAAAATGGTTAATGCTGCTGTTCTCACAAATGAAACATACAAATTTTTCTGAGAGGAAGATTTTTCTCCTGCAATTTCTTACGAACTATTGAAAAAAGTGTTCCCAATAGAAAAGAGAACAGATGTTATTTCTTTTTCTTTTGTTCCAAATATTGCTTATAACACTGTGTGTTCATTCACATTGAGCTGTCCGGCTGCATCTTATTCCTGGTAAACTCAGTGAGTGCTTAAACAAATATTAAAAAACCCACCAAAAAAAACCAGAAAAAACCCTCATGATTTGAGTCTTACATTTTTCCTTTTTTTTTTTTTTTTTATTGTTATACTTCCTGTTTTCTGAACTTCGAACATATATAATCAGTTCTTCTGTTAATGTTAAGTTTAGTTATGTGACCTGCTCTAGTACATTTTCCAAATGCAGTTTCATAATGTTTCAGGTTGGCTCCTTCCAGCTGTTTGTTGAAGGATACAAAGAAGCTGACTACTGGCTCAGGAAGTTTGAAACTGATCCTTTACCTGAGAATACAAGGAAGGAATTTCAGTCACAGTTTGAAAGATTGGTTATCTTGGATTATGTCATCAGAAATACAGGTATTTGTTAATGTCTCTCAGTATCTACTTTTGTGAGGCAAAAATGGTAAGCAGTTCTGGCTGAAAGCTGCTGCTGAAGGCTTATAATGCATTTCAGATGCTTTTCTCACAATTAAAGGCCAGAATGTTGCATTTTAAACTTTAAAACATATACTTTGGATTCAAACATTGAATATTGCAATATGACAAAGTCCAAACAATGCTCTTTAGCTGTTACTTGATATTTTAAGCAGTGTAAGAATTCAAGAACAAATACTTTCATTATGCTTTAATTCTGTCAATAAGCTAAGTCTGTCCTCATTAAGATAAGGGATGGTGGTGAGGTTTCAGGAACCAAGAGAAAGCCATGACTACCCTTTCTTTTATACTAAGTTGGAGCAAATAACAGCACAGGTTCACATCAGTGCAAAATAGTTCATATTCATTATGACTAGGCACTGAAGTACAACTGTGGTGTGTATCTCTCTGTTCTCCTTGGATTCTTGTTTCTTTCACTCAGAAGCTGGGATTTTTCTGTTGACTATGTAGGTGATTTATTTGCTCAAAAATCCAGAGGCAGTTTTATATTTAAAATACTTCCTTTGCTACTTTTTACTCTTCTTCAGTCATACCAGTGCTAGTTCATTTTCCTTGTCTTAAATAAGTCACTCTAACCTATTTTCAGAAGCGAACTAAAAGAGGAAAGTTTTGTAAGAACGTATTACTTCCTACCTTTTGCTATAAACTGTCAGCTTTATCGAATAGATCCCAGTGTTTCCAAACAATTACTGTGTCCTGTGAAGTTATTAAAATTGTAAGGAAAATACTCAAAATGTAAAACCTCATTATGTGGATGATTTTACCTCCACCTAATATATCTGACATGAAGTCTTCTGATGGATACAGTCATCCTTTCTCTGAAAGACCTTGTCAAAGCCTTCAGTGTCTCAATTTTGTCTGAACGGTGCAGACATTTTCAGCTTCTGAAAGGCTCTTCAGTTTTTTCCTACCTCCATCTTTGGGGAGTCTCTTTTTCTCCATGTAGTCAAACATCATAGTATCTGTAATTTTGGGGGGCCTTTCCCTTTCCCCATCAGCTTAAAACGAGCTTAAAAGTTAAGTCATTGTGGTTGCTGCTGCTGACTGTTTTCCCCAGGAAAAGTGCACACTACAGCCAGTCTTTCTGCATAAAATGAGTGAAAGTGATTTCTCTTAGTTTCCTTGATATTTTGCTGTATATTCAGGCAGTTGGGTAAACTAAATCAGTAATACATTCCTAAGAACACTTGGTAAATTTTTGTTTTTTCCAGTAAATCAGTTGCTTCATACATTTCAGTAAAGCTCAGCCACATGTATTGTGATAGAGATACACAGTTTTGTACAGTTTTGCCTAACTCCTTTGGTAAATTCTCAGTTTACAATATTACTCATTGTATATCACTTTAGATGATGATTTCTTTATAAATGATGTGTTGTGACATGCATTTTCCTGTTTAAAGACAGAGGTAACGATAATTGGTTAGTCAGGTATGAAAAACAAGATGATGGACTTGATCTGTCAGATAAGGTAAGAAAACTGTACTCTGAAACTTATATTCTTTAAATTGTTCAGTTTTAAAACTTGGTCTTGCAGGGGATAAAGTGCGTGGATTTAATTCTGGAGCGGGGTCTCAAGAAATCTGATAGCTGCAAATTATTCTAGGCGAAATGAATGGAACAGTTATTTGGATTAGACTAGATAGAACAGTTCTAGAAGTGATTTTTATTGTTCTGTATTTTTTCTTTACTAGCTTGGGCTATAATAATAAAACTGCCCACTGTTGCTCAAGCACACTTCTTCAGCTATTTATGTGCTCTGCTTCTCTCGTATTTGGGGGAAGGGCTCCTTTTTAGTGGTGACAGAGTAAGAATTGTATGTGCTGGAGTTTATGATACTGCTCTGTATTGTTTAAATTTAAGCAGTGAAGCTAAAAAGTATATTGTATTTTTATTGTATTTCACTATTTTTGAAAGCACATAGGTATCACTTCTGAAGTATTTCTTCCGTAGGATAGCCAATGGACTATAACTAAAGAATCTACTATTAAAATTGCTGCAATTGACAATGGTTTAGCATTTCCTTTTAAGCATCCTGATGAGTGGAGGGCATGTAAGTATTGCATTCTTCAATCACCTTCCTTTTGGGAGAGTAACTTCCAAATAAGCATTTTTGTTAGTTGTGTAGTGGTAGTAAGAAACTAAGAAATCATTGCTGTAGTTTATATATTGAATTTTTAAATGATGTACTCTTCCTTAGAAAGTTAGCAACAATTGCCATTTTTCCAATGGCATGTGTAATTTAGTCCTCCTTCATGTTTTTTTTACCCTTATATCTTTAAGCAATATTAATACATAGATATGCATAAACATACTACTGTATGTTTGGTGTCTTATTTAACGTCTGTTGATATTAATTACTCTTACAATATCTCTTGAAAAAGCTGTTTAATAGCAATTATGTGAAAAGTTAAGAATGGTTTTCTCAGCATGCTTCAAATAAGGCATTTTAATAAACAAAATATTATTAAAAATAGTAGCTACTTTTTTGTTAATTTTTCAGTATGAGTCAAATGTCTGAAAGATTTCTATTTGATTGCAGCCATTATTTTACTCCAAAGGACACTGCATTACTAAACTAGAAGGCCTCTACTGTTGCTTACAGTATTTAATTTATATAACTTTTTTACTTATTGCTTCAACTAACTATTACTTAAAATATATTTTCACTCTTTGAAAAAAAAAAAAATAAAAGGTGAAGTAGCTGTAAAGCTGCTTTTCTAACAGTAGCCAAAAGAGGTATATTGGCTAATAATGGTGTGAAAAATGGTGTTACTGAGAACTTCCAGTAGACAGCAGGGTACTGGCAAGCACTTGAGAATTTTGCCTGTGGTTAATCATTAAGTGTATTGTTTTTATGCATTAGATCCCTTTCACTGGGCGTGGCTTTCTCAAGCAAAAGTTCCATTCTCTCAGGAGACCAGAGACCTAGTTCTTCCTCGCATTTCTGATATGAACTTTGTACAGGATCTTTGTGAAGATCTTTATGAACTATTTAAGGTGAATTGAGTATTACTGAAATAGCTAATACTTGTAATGGAACAGTTAGGTGATTTTTGTTTTTATGAATTTAACTTCTGTATGTCATGATACTGTGCTATTTTAGCTTTGATATTGGAATGGTAGAAAGGGTTTATATAATTGAGGAAACTGTCACTAATGTGGCTAATTGATAGTAATCAACTGATGTGAAAACATTATTACATTTTATGTACTTAAGTTTCACATAATCAATTAAAGCTGGTTAACTTCTATAGCACCAATCTGTGTGAAAACTAATATACCTGTGTGGTTTGTATATGCTTAAGATGAACTGTAGTAACCTGAGAAAATAATGTATTTAATATAACTTGAAGTACCTTCATACTTCTGATATACTTAATTTTACATACATACGTTGTGTGAAGTTGATGCTGAAATCTTGACCATGTTTAAAGTCAAACTTACTTTAAAGGTACTGAAACTGTGCTGCAGTACTGTCATGTAAATTGTCCTCTGAAACAAATAAACAATTGTGTCAGATGTTCAAGTGAAATAATCCAAATGATGAGGATAGAAAAATGGAAATTTTAAACTTTTAATGAAAATGCAGGTGAAACATCAAAACTATATCCTGAAACACATTTGCAATATTTGTGACTCAGTTTATTCAGAGTGACTCTGGCTTGTCTGATAAACCTGATGAAGTATTTAATAAATCTGAAGTAGGAAGTATTCTTTTGCCCGAGTAAAGGTGCGAGACAGAGCAGCGTAGCATTATGTGTTGGTATTAAGCCTCCCTATCAGTGCCCTAAAGTGGTGTCCGCTGATGTATTTTCCTTTTATGATGTGGAACATCCTTCATTTTCGCATATGTAAACTTGCTGCAATAAATAGACCTTTTTGTGGGTCGTGCTATGACTGTTTGAAGCTCCCAAAAATTATTGTGCTGTTAGTAAATATCACCATGTATTATGAAGTTGATGAATTTGTGTGCTATAAATATGTAACTAAAAATAAATGGGTCATTTCTTATAATAACTGTTTGTTTTCTTTAATAAAGGCTGATAAAGGATTTGACAAGTCTACTTTTGAAAACCAAATGTCGGTTATGAGGGGGCAGGTAAGACTGCTTCTTTACATTTTTATTTTTGTATTTAATTTGATTTTTTTTTAGAGCTACAAAAACTGACTCCTATTGAATGAATGACACTTGAACCTATTTTCATCAGAGAAGACTAAATGTTTCTATAGAGTTTACTCTTATTTGCATATAGATGAGACAGCAGAAAGTATGTACTGATTCTTTTTGATATTTGTAGAAGATTATTTTTTTAAAATAATGTAATTGGGTTTTATTGTTTTTATGGGGGATGGGGAAGACTTAATACCTGCATGTTCTTAGATGGTATTTTAAAAATGAAACACTGGAGAAGAGTCATAAACTTGGATGAAAAATTTGATGGGTAATTTCATTATGTTATTAAAAGAAATGTAACTTTATTGTGGACAGTTAACTTGAGTATTGAAATACCTCTCACAAGAAAGCAATATCAGTAATAAAATTCTTCATCCTAGCAAATGTCAGAACCATACTTAGAACAAATCCAACTATTTTCAGATAATTAAATGTTGATATTTTTTCACACTGAAACGAGAGAAGGGTTTCTCCATCTCCTTGCTGCTTTAAAATTAAAGACTGGTGCGATACACTGGAAAACAAGGTTCAGCTGGGAACAAATTTAGTTCATTGTAGGCATAAAACAGTGATTTGTGAAAATGTAAGGGAATTGGACTAGATAAATTAAGTCCCCTTTGCCTTGAATTTATTGAAATTGACTTCTCTGTGTTCATAAATTTGTCATGGGTAGTTTAAAGCCAGACATTCACAATTCCTAGAGTGGCTTAATCTGCCCTTTTCTGTGTAGAGCCTCCTATATCAAGAAGTACCTTGCACAAGACTGCAGCTGTGCATAGCCAAACATGATCCTAGTTAATGTTAGTTATGTGTGGTGGCTAAAAGCCAGCAAACCTTACTTATTAAATTGAATTATAGGAGTTATTGCTGAAATAACTTTTCTGAGAAGTTTGTGCAGTCACTGGAAGGTCACTTCTGAAGTATTCATCCATCTTAAACTGTGTTAAATAGCTTTTCTGTGATGAGACAATTGGCTACAGGGAATCTGTTATTTAACAGCTTAAGGAAAAAACCTGATGTATATTTTTGAGAGAGATCTAGCTAAGGTTGTCTGATTAATTTTCCACTGTAAAGGCTGTGTTTGGACCTTTTCTTTACACCTGTTCCCTGGGGTGGATTTCAGCAGAGATTTGGCACTTTTTGTTTTGTTTTAAAAATCTCTCTCTAGCCATATGAGGACATGTTTCACTGTGGGAAATGTCATGTTTTCAGGCATGGATTTAGGGAAGAAATTCAGTAATGAGTTTTCTTGGATGTGATTTGAAATACATCAGCAAATGATGCATTTTAGCACTGATTTTAGACTTGCTTTTGGTGTAAAACCAATGCTACAAGGGCATTATAGAAGAGTTGGTATCTGGATCACATGATAATGGATTCATTCAGTTAAGATGAATTTGTAGGATAGCCAAAACATCTGTAAATACAACCTTAAAAGTGAAAACTTTAAGAATTAGAAAATGAAAAATCTAGTTGATAAAGATAAGAAGGCTGAAGGGAAATATATCCTGCACATAAGGGGTGAGATCTTTAAGGTTCCAAAAGTAGTTAGAAGCACATTTTTTTGAAGTGGGGAAAAAAAAATACTGGGAAGTGTTTCAAACCCAAGATAAACAGTTCTCTCAAGAATACAGAGATTAAGAAATCAGGTAACACAGATCTACAAAGATTTGCCTTAGAAAACGTAAATATCAAGTGGAGTTGCTGGAAGACCCAAATTGCAGTAAACCATCTGTCCAGGGTTTGTCAGCTATGAAAATGCAGAATGAACAGGAGATCAGTAAGTCGCACAAGGAACAAAAAGGCAGCGTGCAGGGGAAAAAAAGACTTGATGTTAAGGGTAATGCACATGTGTCACCATAACTAAATTGAACACTTGCCCCAGTTTTCAGCAGGATAACATTGAATGTGAAGTAAATTATCAAGGCAGTTCATGAGCACTGAAGTTTCAGAAGGAAAATAAGAGTCCTAGGAGCTGAAGGCTAAGTTTGGATCTTAGCACTGGGTCTGGTGTGGGGTAATAATATAGCTACATATCTTCTGATGTGAAAATAATTTGTAGCTAAACCCCTGGTCAATCCTATGTTAAATACATGTAGATTGCATTCTTGTAGGTTTTTTTTCATTAATGGTGCAATGCTCTTGACGTGCTAAATTTTAAAATGCTCTTAGATTTTTGTCTCTAATGTATCCCAAAAATTTGGAGCGGATTGCATGAAATATTCAGGGAAAGAGTAGAAGGGTAGTCAGATAGCGGTAGGATGTCACAATGTTACCAAAAAAATTAAGTATTTCTGCTTCCAATAGAGTATCTTTAAAAAATAATTTGACAGCATAGTCCTCTATAGCATTGATTTAAGAGTGACATCTAAATGTATGGGCCTGTTAGCCACAGTTTTATTGTGCACCCTCACCTTACTTGCTTTTACTCTTTTAGATACTAAACCTTACTCAGGCATTAAAGGATGGAAAAAGTCCCATTCAGCTTGTTCAGATGCCACGTGTGATTGTGGAACGAAGTAGCACTGGAAGTCAGGGCCGAATTGTTCATCTGGGTAATGCATTCACGCAGACCTTTCATAGTAGGAAGCCTTTCTTTTCCTCCTGGTAGCAACAAAAATATGTGAGAAGAGTAAGTTTCCCTTAACTGTAGAAAACTACTTCTGTGTAAAGGCTCTGCAATAATGTACTTCTGCTGTATACCAAGAGCCCTGACTGCCGACACCTCAGAACTTAAATTCTAAAGACTTAAGAAATGTATTTTGAATGTAATAAAAGTTTACAATTTTTGTGTCAAAATTGTGAATTCTTATGTCAGGGAATGAGAAGAATTTGTCCATACTGTATTTTTATAGGCTAAATTAATGTATTCTGAATAATACTCTGAATAAGGGAAGATACAGTTTGCATATGCTGAGAAACTAATTTTGAATACAATCGGCATTCTTTTTGTTTAAATATGAAAACCTGTACACTATCAATTTCTTTTTATATGGTCTTTAAAAAAAAAAAAAGTGCAGATTATCTTTGATTGTGAAAATTCTTTTCCTTGGAATTTCTTCCTGATATTTTAAGCTGTTTATAGATTTTCATAGGCTAGTTACTTGAAGTCATGCACTAAAAAAACCCTATGTTCAGTCTGTCCTTGACAAACAAGTAAAAGAAAAGGAGAAGGGAAAAAATGCTTGAAGTAGGGTGGGGTTTTTTGTATGTGGGGACCAAAAATAGTTAAATAATCGAATTTACAGCAAAATTCAACCCAACTAAGTACACACAGTTCCTACTGTGACAAAAGGAACTGAGTGTATGTTTCAGAGGTTGAAATTTCACCTCTAGCTTTTAGAACTTGTGTGTTTAAGCACATGTATGGAAAATTGTGATGTTTCTTTATGTAGTCATCACAATGAAAGAATTGCACCATGTTGTTACAGGTTTGTTTTGCCATATGCATATAAATGTGTTCATCAGTAGTCACCGAAGTGGTTCTGCACTATTAATGATAAAAGCACTAATGTGTTCAACACAAAGCCAGTCTGCCTTCTAAATTTCTATCTAAACACACTGTTGGGTTTTTTGGAGCAGAGGGGGGCGGAAGTAATACATGGAGCACTATTGTGCCCTTAGTCATGTCATGCTCATCTGCTAGTTGCCATTTGCATTTAAGTTTTGTGTTGTTTAAGACTTGATGGTCATGTTTCTAGATCTGTGGCTTATGTAACATGGTAAATATTTTTATTTTAGTAACTTTCTCAACAGTTAAGACTGGGAATGGGAGAAAAATTGCTGCTTTTATGAAACCTTCAGTATTTCAGACATTGCTGTATTTTGTAATTCAAAGCAATACTGTTAAGCTCAAAAAATAATAAAATGCTTGTATTTTATATAATTTTGAGTGGATGTAAATATTAATGTAGCATGTCACCAGTTCACATGATTAACTAAAACGTTTAAGCCTTAAATGTAGAACTCACTATAGAGTGGAGTTCAACGTAAGATTGAAATGACCAGCTTTATAAACTTTCCATGATGGTTTCTATCAAAGTTTATTAAAAAATAAAATATAGTGTTTATGTACCAGACATGTCCCTCGAAGAAAATAAAATAAACGTCCTCGTCCCAAACGCACGGGTTTTAGGCTCAGCTGTCTTATTTCTGGTGCCGTAAGTCGCCCCTACTTCCGTTTTGTAGCGGCGGGTGACGGGTACCAAACCGGCACCT